TAGGAGCAAGAGAAGGTTGAACTAAATGCAGAATTGTGTGCAGAGAAATCACATCTTCAGGAAACAGCCTCTCACCCAGGCAGGATGGAGAAAGGAGCAGTCCATGGTAAAGCATCCTAGCAGCACCAGTCTCCACTGGCTCAGAGAATCAAAAACTAAATAATTTCTACATATAATTCTGAATTACGGGGAGAATTATTTTGTAATGTTTATTTTTGAGAGAGAGAGGGAAAACATGAGCACAGGAGAGGCAGAGAGAAAGGAAGACAGAGAAATCTGAAGCAGGCTCTGTGCTGACATCGGCAGAGCCCAACGACAGGCTTGAACTCAAGAAGCGGGAGATCATGACCTGAGTGAAGTCAGACGCTTAACCCAACTGAGCCACCCAGGCACCCCAGATGGAGAATTATTGACAGTTATGGACATAATGCTGGCCCTCCCATTAAATGAACTACGTGCAAATGGTTTGGGAAGGATGTGCCTGTTGGAAACACTCATCAATAATCAGTAAGTAATGTAGAATCTCAAGAATGAGATTCTCTGGCCACCGTGCCCAGAGCTGTTTCTGGTTTTCCAGAGCAGCCATGGTGATGCTTCTAGTGTCAAGTATGGATGGGATCAAGAGAGCAGCAGTAGTATCTCTGCTGAGACATGTCAGCACTGGTGTCTTCACTGGAGCCATTCTACATGTAATTTTGAAGCCATGCTTGGAGGTGTAGCTCTTGTGCCCACTCCTTTATCCTCACTGTGCTCCGTAAGCCATTCAGTGTGCTTTCAGACATTCTGTCTCTCTTAAATTGCACAGAAGTAGGCCTTGGGTGGGTAGGGTAAGTCTGAGCAAATTCTACTATTCACCAGCTATGCTTGCACCTGCAGAGTAAATATGACTGGAAGAAAAACGACACGCACTTACACAAACATACACTGCTTGGTCACCCTTAAAATTTAGCACCCCAGATTGCACCCCAAATGTTGGGAGCAATTCTGATTTGTAGCAGATAAATCATAATTCATTTAAAAAATTCCATATTGTCAGACCTCTGGGTTGTTTCCAATTTTTCCCTGATAAAAATGTTGCTGTTATAGATTATCTTCCTGGCTACATATGTGCCGTATCCATAATTATTTCCTTTGAATATTTATGTTCTAAAAGTGGAGTTCTAATTCCAATTATGAAGAGCTGACTTGTATTGGACTAACTTCTCTGCTGTTACAATTATTAAAGCTGAACAAGCTATAAAATACTACTGTTTGGAGGCATTGGGATACAACCAAATTAGTTAGGGACAGAAGAAACTACCACCACTATGAAAAGCACATAACATAAGGTGAGCTCCACATTGAGTTGGCTTTTCTCCTGAGGATATTTTGAAATTTTCTGCTATGTGAGGGAGTAGAATTCACGCAGAAAAAAAGGAGTCTCACAGGACTGAGGAGACAGAAGTCAGAGTTTGAGACTGACAGAGTATAATTTGGGTGGTAATATCTCAAAAAAGGGAGGATTCAAAGGAGCCCCTAAATCTACTGATTCTCTTCAAAATTTGATGGACTTCTAATTATTCATGCAAGAAAATCAGTAGAAAGTAGCAGCTAAAAGGGAAAAAATGGAGCAGATTTCAATATCTTCTTGCTGCTAAGAGGTTGAAGTTCAAGTATGAACAAATCAGAAGGCCTTACTAAATACCCAGAGCTTTTCACTAAGTTACCAGAAGGGCAATGGCAGAATAACAACAAAATTGAAACAACAATCTTAGAAAAAAATAACTAAAATTAACTCATGAAAGGATTAAGGTGATCTTTTGATTTTCTAACTACAATCCACCAAAAAACTTCTTTTTGGAAAGAAGATTACATTATCCCTAGACTATAAAAATTTTTAGTCCACGTTTTCCAGTATTAAATTAAAAATTAAAAGTATGTTAAAATACAGGACCAATGGAACAAAACCAAGAGAAAAACGGACCATTAAAGTAAACTCATAGGGCACCTGGGTGGCTCAGTCGCTTAAGGGTCCGACTTCAGCCCAGGTCATGATCTCACGGTTTGTGGGTTTGAGCCCTGCGTCGGGCTCTGTTCAGAGCCTGGAGCCTGCTTCAGATTCTGTGTCTCTCTCTCTCTCTGACCCTCCCTTGCACTCTCTCTCTCTCTCTATCTCTCTCTCTCTCACAAATAAATAAAAACATTAAAAATTTTTTTTAAATAAATAAACTCATAAGTGAATTAGATATTGGAGTTATCAGAGATTTTTAAATAGTACAATTGAATTAATTCAAGAAAACAGGGAAAAATGAGAAACATCTATAGACACCTAGAATACACACACACACACACACACACACACACACCTATGAAATGGAGATTCTACATCTAAAAATTATATTGACTAGGATGAAGAATTTATTAGAGTGGTTTATTAACAGATTAGAAATAGCAAAAGGAAAAAGAAAGAATGAGTAAATCACATCATAGGGCTTTAGAAAATATTGGAAGTAATGTATAGGGAGAAAAAATATACCAAAAAAGCATGAGAAACTTGTAAGACAGGGATAATGTTTAATATATGTCAATCAAAGAGGTAACAGTTAAAGAAATGGTGACTGAGAATTTCCTAGATGTGAATGGATATCAAGCCACAGATTCAAGGTCTGTAAACATCATATAGTTTAAATAGAAAGAAAACCACAGTAAGGGACAGTAGAGTCACACTGCCAGAAACCAAAGATAGAGTGAAATCTTAAAAGGGGGCTAGAGGGAGAAAAAGGAAAGTTCAAGAGGTACAATTACAGGGTCAGTTTATACGTTTATTCTCTGTTTTTTGTTTTATTTTGTTTTTAGGTTTGGATGTAAACTCAATGCACTCTTCAGAAATTCGGCTGCTTTTCCCCACACGCTTGGAAACAGTGTCACCAATTTTGGTTTTAACTTTGATATTCTAACTAGTAGCATCTTTAAACCTCTTTAATATTTAACCTGTTGTGGTTTCTGAATGATGAATAGGGCCGCTGGCAGTTTTTGAGAGATTCAGCATTTCTGAAGCTTTTCATTGACTTTGATCTTTTGGGGGCTTTTTACTTAAAGCACAGTTTATAATTTAGATATTTCTAAGATAGTATTCCCGTGCATACGTTTGCCAGATTATACCTACACATGGGCACATAAAGCTGATTTTATAGGATTCCATATTCACTCTTTTCAATCACAAAGAACAAAACTGCCGGGGCCCTTAGTGTTTGCACTGCTTATATATTGTGTTTTTTTTTTTTTTTTTAATTCAAGTTACATTCACTCATAGAATGGTTTATACATTTATTAGTTTTCTAGGTAATTTTGATTTTATTGCAGCTCTTGATTTCATAATATGCCTTCAGGTGTCCTTGAAAGAAGTGCTCTCATCTCTGCGGATTCAAATGCCCTCCTTTGGCTTCCAGGGGCAGCAATTATGGTGTCCTGTATCATCTCGTCTCTTTACACAGTGATCCCTATGAAGCTGAGATGCAAAGATTCTACCCCAGTGATTTAGGTCTGGCCTCATTCCAAGCCTTAATTGATGGGGACTTTGTCCTGTATTTAGTATTCAGCATAGAGCAAAGCATTTCTCATGAAATGGTTCCAGGGAATGAAAATGACCTAGTTGTTGCAAACCTCACAGCAAAGTGGAATTACCTTCTGGATGAGACCTGAGGCTCAGTGCCGTGCTGACCACTTTCTCTTGCCAAACAATTTCCTAAGATACGAACTAGCCTTATTCTGAAAATATAAAACTCTATTAAATATATACGATAAAGCAAAACGACAGGTACAAAATGTTATGTGCACGCACTAGAATTGTAAACAAAAGAAATTAATAAAAGCATATGAAGAAAGCCTGGAAGGAACTCCACCAAAATAATAACAATGGTAGTTTGAGTACTGGCACGCTAGGGAATTAATTTTCTTTTCACCAATTTACATATTTTCTGGACTCTGGCTATATTACCTTTATAATTAAATAATAAATCTCCTTTAAAAATGATGTTAGAATAAGTTTCTGATAAAAATTTTGACAACCAGCTTTTATAACCACCTCTCCTTAGCAATAGACCTGGGATTATAATGCTAGAATGTCATAACCAAGATCATAACACGTTAATAACCCAATTGGAGTTTTTAACATTACGGTTTGCTTATTTTGTAATACACTTCTTTTTAGCACCTGTACAATTCAGACCTTTTAATTACATTTTGCATAACGGTCAGGCAAAGTAATTTCAAGCAAGTTTTCATACATGCATTTTTCTTAAGCTTGACGTATTATAGCAATCCAAATGCAGTGGGAACATTACATTTAACTGAGCAGGAAGACAAAGAGGTAATTGTAGTTCTGTTCTAAGTCATCAAGAATGCAGTTTTTGAGTCATCTTTTTAATCTTACAGATGCCTTAATCGCCATATTAAAATTAGTTTATCAGAAGTATGTGAATATTTTATATATTCTCTAGCAAATCTTTTCAACCACAAATAGAAAAAACATGAAAATTAAAAACTAATATGAAATATATTTTTTCTTGCACAAGTCTTATTTGACCACAAAACACATTTAGAAGTAGAATCAAAGAGTTTTAGGGGTACTTGGGTGGCTCATTTGGTTGAGCTCAATTCTTGGCTTCAGCTCAGGTCATGATCTTAGGTTGTGAGATCAAGCCCCACATCAGGCTCTGCACTGAGCATGGAGCCTGCTTGGGATTCGTTCTCTCTTCCTCTGCCCCTCTCCCCCACTCTCTCTTTCTCTAAATTAAAAAAAAATAAAAGACTTTTATATGCATTTAATCTTTGTTCTTCCTGATACTGTCCTTTGATATTAACTCTACATAGTTTGAATGACTATAGAAAATATCTGTATCACTTTAAGAAAGCATAACCTTTATCTTTATCTGCATTACTGGAAATATATCTAGTTATCTTTAAGCTAAGTAAATTTATTTTAGAAATAAATTGTACAATAATATTTTTTCTTAAAGGTGCTGAGACCAGGAACCATGGGAATAGACCCCATGGAGACATGACAGCTACACAATTACAACTACATTATGACTTCTTTCTGTGTCTTTCTATGGTAAGTTCTGAAGAACACTCATTTGCCCTGTTAGCAAGTTTATACTCATTGTCAAGTTTACTTTGAGCCTCCTAGTAAGCACGTCAAATGAAGCCTTTTCTTATGTGGAATGGGTATGGTAAGAGCACATCCTGTTTTGTGCTTTTATTTGCTCACTAAACAAAGTTGAGCAGGTGATGTCAAGCTGAGTGTTAGAGCAATTTCATATGACTCCAATCTCACCCTATTCCTTGGAAGGGAATGTGAATTAACTTTTGCTGCTCTGGGTTTTTGCAATCATGTGCTATTTCATAGAATCACAGATAAGTAGAGTCAGAAGGAAATTCTAATCCAGTGGTTGTGGAGTTGAATTCCTTTTTCAAAAAATCAATCTTGCGTAGAAGCCTAAGACATAAAATGATATAAGCAGAGTTCTTCATTGATTGAATAAGAGCTTCTGGGGAGCCCCTACAATTCACTTGTTCTATCCCTTCTTTCTCTGTGGGAGCTATTGAGCATCTCAACAGAACACAAGAGATTCTCAGAACAGATTGCAAACCACAAATCTAATTCCAATTTCTCTCATATTACAGATAAGTCATCAAAAGCTGAAAGAAGTGAAGCTACTTGTCCAAAGTTATAGAACACAAAGCCTTGCACATATTAGGTCTCAAAATACAAGTTTTCAGGGTAGATCTTAAACTAATTAGTGAAAGAGGCAGGCCTACACATCTAGAGCTTTCTTCTCCATCAAAATTATCGTTGCTATTTATTGGAATGTTTTCTTCATTTGTTTAAAAGTGTTTAAAGGAAGTAGTAAAAGGAGAAGAGGGATTTTGAGAATCATCCCCAAAGGTTATGGGTAGGTCAAGGAACTTACAAAAAGTTTGGAGGAGATCTCAGCACGTTATTCTAAGGGAACTACAAAATATATGATCCATTACCACTGCTGCACAAATGTGGTGGGACCCTGCTATGTCTCATTATGTACAGAAAGGTATTGGAAGTGATTTCCCAAGAATAAGAGCTCTGCTTACTCTGGATTGGGTTGACATCATGCTGGATCCTCAGTGTAGAGAACCTATAATGTAGATTATGGTTGAGCTCTATGATGTCACAGAAGTCATCAAACAGGGAGCTCTAAGACATCTGGATATTCTGATTGTCTAAAAACAACTGTGTGTTGTGGTATACATTCTCACTTTATATTAGTTAAAATATCTGATTTGAGCAGGGCACTGATCTCTTGCATCAGAAGCCACTCCACCTCTCTACATATCAGTTGCCCCATGACTCAGGAGTTTAGTAGAAATACAAAGTAGGTTATCACAAAATCAAAAAGTTATGCATATTACCACAACCATGTGAGATCTGTAGAAAGTACAATGAGATTTTTTCTGAGTCAAAGAATTTCATCTAAAGTCTGAAAGCTGAGACAATGAAAGACAAGTTTTGTTACTTATCTAAGGAGAAGCAACAGATTCATCCCCAAATGGCCAATCCGGTCCAACCATCATCATTCCCAATAGCTAGTATAAGAAAGGATCACAGATTTGTGGGAGAGCAAAGTAAATGAAGGAGTTTAATAAGTACATGTGACACTATCACATTCTCTCCTTCCTCTAGTCAAGTAAGAGTGCCTCCCAATAACCACCCAGAGATTGGATTGTCTATCAAAACAAGAGATGGGCATTTGACTAACACTCCCCCAATCCCTTTGCTAAATGCTTGTTAATTGCAAAAATACCATAGTTCTGCCCATGCTGGTCTAGAGCAGACACCTCCAGCTTGGCATGTGTTCCCTGGAATTTGTGGAGGCAATGAATGGTACTCATCTCTCACAGGTGGTTGCCTAGAGCAGGCTCCATTTGCAGAGCAAGAATAAAGGATGCAATGACTTGGCCTCACTTGGAGCATGTCAGGGCCAGGTGGTATGCATTTTCCCATGGATCACCTGGACACTCAGAAAAGTAGCCAGGCTTGAACATTTTTTGAAAGAACTTGCATGTCTGCCAAGAGGAAAAATGGACCATTTTGCTTTATTGGCAAGAGTGGACGGCTAGTTGTAATAAATCATCCGGAAGGTGCATCACCTGTGCCATGAAATAGAACAGTACAGAAGTACCCAGCCAGGGAGTAGAGCCTTTGCCACTTTACTTTGCACCCCTCCCTAACCCCTGACCACTGACTAGTTAGAAGCATTGGGAAGAGGAGATGGAAGAAAGTCATTGAAGTCAGTAGGGAGAGGAAAACATAAGATGACTACTCTGTTTATTCTATTTAAGGTAGACCGTTTGGTATGCCAGTTATAATTTTCTAAACTTGTTTTATAGTAGATAGACAAAACTGAAACTCAGAAAGATGATTGGCCAAAGGCACAAAGGTAGGAGGTGACAAAGCCAGGAGTCTTGTGACTCTGATACGGATTTCTTGAGAGAATGCTACCTTCCCTTTAGAAGCAACCTCCAAAGAAATGGAGCAGAATACATATACCCACGCTACCTTTTTCCTGTAGCATGATCCTCGAAGGATCAGATTGGAAAATTACAAATGATTCTTCTGGCACTGTCTGGGTGACGGTGGATAAGTTGCTTCACCTTCCTCAGCCTCCTTTTGCTCATCTATAAAATGCAAAGGTTGGAGCAACACAGCCCTAAATTCCCTTGTAGATTTTAACAAGATACAAACATAGCTCAAAAAGAGAGAGTGGAGAATAAAGGAGAGGGGAAGGAAGAAGAGTGGAGGAGAGGAGGACAAGGGTGGGGAGAAGGGTAAGAGAGAAGACTGGGAGGGGAGAGGAGGGAAGAAGAAAATAGGAGGTGGGGGGAGGGAGAAACAGATGTAAAAGTGCATAGGATTCTGTATTAGTTGCATTAGTTGAATGTTTTGTACCTTAAATTTTCAGGATAGTCAAAGAATTGAAATAGAATTTCAGAAATGACTTTATTTCCATATGCTCTCCCTCCTCTGTCCTATCACTTCTTTTAGAGACATGCTAAGGTGATTTCATAAAAACAAGGGGAAACATAATTTTAGAGATGAAGCATCTCATCCTCCCTAAAACGCTTTTGTTTGTGGACAGTAAAAATTATCCCACATCTGAAAGCATCCCCATAACTGGAGTCCCAGGAGGAACAGCGGTAGGGAGGTTTCTTTGTTTTGTTTGTGTTTTTGTTGTTTTTCAAACATATGATGGGGATGAGTCTGGGAAACTGTAACTTCAAATGGGTTTGTTGCTGCAGCTTTCAATCCTGTCACAAAAGGTGTCATGAAGATGAATAAAGTTGGTGCCATCTTCTGTTTTCATTATCATCCAAGGGGCTGGGATCGGAAAGGATTCATTTTGTGCCACTGTCATTTCTCATTACTATCTTTGTCATGAGACTGAATTATAACAGCCCTCCAATGCCAGCTCTGGCTTTGCTCTCATTACAGACTTTCATTCTTGGGACGAAGATGGTAATAAGAATGGAATGTCGTGTAAAAACAGAGCTCACTTTCATGACAGTTGGAAATTGGTGATGAAAATGGAAAATGGCAGAAAAAAATTAATCCTTTCTTCGTGGCAAAAATTGTGCTGCAAACAACAGCATGCACCAAAGGTATCTCTCACAGTGGCAATAACAAAGCAATGAAAAGGCAAACAATGAACAGCTTTTGGAGCAAATGAGGGAATCGGAGGCATCCATCTTGCTTGGTGCTTTGGAAATATATCTCTTAATCCTGAATAATGTAACATCCATTAAGCTCCAAAAGTAATGTGATAGGTAATTAGGAGCTTCTCTGTTCTCCCTTCAGTGATGTGAGTATCTCTATTACATACTGCCAGAAAGACACTACCAAATTTACAGAAGCCATTAGAATTTCTATATAGGATACCTTTCATACACACACACACACACACACACACACACACACACACACACATGCACACACTCATACACATGCATATGTGTCTTTATGTGTGCTTGTGTACATACAGTTCTAGAAAAGTATTTAGCTGACTCAGTAATAGTGGCTTCAAAAAGGACTTCCACTTTCTATTTTATACATTCCTGTATTGATCGATTTTTTTTTTAAACCAAGAGCATTTGCCACTCTTAAAATTACACACATGATAATGTCATTTCCCATAAAAATAAATGGCTCTGTATACCACTGAATTACCTTCACTGCTGGGATCTATTGTCAACTCTAGGTACATATTCTCTAATTTAAAGTTGAAAGGGGGAAACTGCCATTTACATCCACATTTTAAAATAAATGCTCTGTCTCTTTCTTTACAGATTCGTTCCCTCGCCATATTCCAAGTGTGATTTTTTTGTTTTCCATGCAGAGGTTGTATCTTTTCAGAATGAGAGTCGGGGCATGCTAATTGTGGAAAGAACTTGGTGTGAAATGGTCTTTTCATTAGATTTCATTTAAAGCATTTTATTTGATATTTTATCATTGGCCACCATATGTAACAGATATTCAGCATTTATCCACTTTTCAACACGTATCATTGTTGGGAAGGAAGAGAGACATTTTAATATGCACTGAGCACAGAACCATTTGTAAGATGGTTATTGAATACAGAAATGCATATTATGTGCACGTTAGTGTCTGGCATACATTTAAGGTTGCTAAATGTTGACACAGTTGCCTATGCTGACACGGATAAGCCAGGCAAAGTAGGCATGAGAGACCATCTTTATTAGAGAAAAGAAGGCAATGGCTCTGTAAGATACCACCTGAATTCACTTGATTCCTTTCACTTTGGAGCGGTTCACGGCAAGGGCACACTTTAAATCTGTCTTTTATACTTTAAGTGGCTGGGATGGGGGCGCATCAAATGGTAATTCTTACAAAAAGAGGAAAAACCGATTATTGTAAACCAGTAGAAATTTTACATAGTAAATATGCTGGAATAATTTTACAAAGTTCTGCCAAGTCATTGACAGAAAGTTCCCAACTAAAACATCTGAAATGGTAGATTATCCTCAAGCTTTTTCTACGGAGAGTTTTGTGTAACTGTGCTAAGGTGAAAAGTGTAGAACTCTTCAAGTCACACAAGCAAAGCTCATTTTAGAGCAGAGGTTATTAACCATGTGAGAAAACCCACGAGGAATTGCTTTTAAAGATCTGTGACCAAAGACTTTAATTCAGTAAAATTGTAGTGGGGCCTGCACCTTCCCCACCCCCCCCAACCCCGTAGCCATACACCTGGGTGCAGCACAGAGGGAGCCACAATAGGAAATCTGTAGTTTATAAAAGGCTTTTAAAAAATCTGGTATAAACTTGCATTAGAAACCACTGTTTTGAAATGAATATGAAGTAGTCAGATATTTATCTTTTCAAAGGCTGTTTTGATGGAGTTTTCTCCTCTTATTGAGGATACGCTTGACACAGTCCCTCGTCTGTTAAACAGTTATGTGAATATTGCATTTGGAGGGGGTGGAAAGTACAGTGGAGACACAGTAGTGACAGAGCATTTGTGGCTTGCATCCACAAAGCACACGGGACTATAGCAAACAAAGAAGTAGTTAGTTCTTAATGGGCACAAACACCTTGAGGTCATTCCCTCAAGGCTCATCACGGAGGGAACAGACAAAAGCATCATCTCCGTCATCTTTCCCTGAAAGGAATGTGCTGGCATACTTTACAAACTCCTGCCTGAGGGTCTGACTGACTTCTAATTGGCTGGTTGTGAACTTCCAGGAGGTGGAGGAGTGGAGGAGCCAGGGGCATTCCCTCCCTCCCTTCACCCTCTGGCTCTTTAAGGATAAATCCAGATTACAGGCATCTCTCTGGAAGGATCATTCATGTACCTCTGGTACCTGAGTTGCTGTGACTGCTGCCCCAGGGATGGACTGTCTGGCTCTGACAGCCCTGAGGCTTGCAGGCAGAATCCCACAGTACAGATGTAAACAGAGAAGCAGTTTTTAAATGAGCTCTGGGACTCCCCCCCGACCCCCACACTATATTCCTAGGTTCAGCACCCAAGGAGCAGATAAAAAAAACTATCTTTTAGGTTCTCTCTGGAAGGGGCTTTACATACTTTATCAGCTGCTGCTTGAGGGTCTGGATTCTAATCATCCTGCATCTAGGTGCTAACTGTGACCCTCCTCTGTGAGACACTGATGGGTCTTGGCATACCTTCAACTACTGGGAGCCACTAAGAAAAGTGATGGTGGCTTCGGCAATTGCAACAGTTTAGAGCACAACAGGGATCTTGGGCCACACTAATATAAAGAACACAGACAAGTCAATAACAACAACAACAACAACAACAACAACAATAATAGTAATAATAATGGGCCAAAGAACTGAATAGTGATCAAAAATACATACAAATGGCCAACAAGTACATGAAAGATGCCCAATAACGCTAATCATCAATGCAAATCAAATGTACATCAAAACCACAGGATCACCTCACATCTGTTAGGATGTCTATTATCAAAAAATAGCAAAAAACACAAAACAAAAACAAGAAATAACAATACTGTTGAGGATGTGAAGCAAAGGAAATTTATATGCTGTGGGTAGGAATGGAAAGTGGTACAACCTCTATGGAAAGCAATACGAGGGTCCTCAAGAAATTAATAATTGAACTACGATATTGTAGTAAAGCCCCTCCTTAAGGAATGTGTTGGAAGCCTTCTCAGAACAAAGGAAGGGAACATGCAATGTGGCTCAATCAACTCCTATACATGTTTGCATAACTCTAACCTGGACTGTACCCAATCAAACTACATGTGTCTTCATACTTTGGAGACAAAGAAGTAAAAATTGCATGAAAGGCTATACCTTGCTACGCTCGGGACTCAACATTTTTGGGGTCTTAGCCCGCTGAGCCTGTGCTGGCACAAATAAAGCTACTTCCTGAAAGAAGAGCCTCAGTGTCCCGTCTCTCCGTGTGTGATTCCTGCTACAATGTGATTCAGCAATCTTCTGGTTATATATCTGAAGGAAATGAAATCACTATCTCAAAGAGATATCTGTACCCTTAGGTTCATTGCAACATTATTAACAATAACCGAGGTATGGAGACAAGTTAAGTGTTTGTTGATGGATGAATGGATAAAGAAAATGTATTATATATGTACACAACGGAACATTATTCAGCCTTAAAAAGAAGGAAATTCTGACATTTGCAACTACATGGATGAAACTGGAGGACATTATACTAAGTTAAATAAGCCACACAAAGAAAGACAAATACTGCCTAGTATTATTTATGTATGAAACCAAAAAAGAAAAAAAAGTTGAACTTCTAGAAATAGACTGGGGGAGCAGGAAATAAGGTAGAGGCTGGTAAAGAGGCTTGAACTTCCAGTTATAACATGACTAAGGAGTAAGGTTCTAATGTATACATAGTTGATAACACTATATTGTAGAATTGAAATTTACTAAGAGAGTAGAACATCTAAGTGTTCTCATAAAAAAAAGATAAATATGTGAGGTGATGGATGTGTTAATTAACTCAATGGTGGCAATCCTTTCACAACGTATACATATAACAAATCATCACATGGTACACTTTAAGTATCTTACAATTCTATTTGCCAATTATACTTCAATAGTGTTGAAAAGAAAAAGGAAAAGAAATTGTTTTGGAATCCCAATGTTTTTTGATAGTTCAATTATTTAATCCTTAAAATATGATATTTGCAACAGAAAGACAACTTCCCCCTTGAAAATCATCTCTTTATGTGTAAGCTTTAAAGAACAATAAAATATTTTATTTAAGCATATACATGCTATATCAACAATGTTTAGTCATTTTTAATCATCATAACTGATCAATTAATATTAAATCAAATCAATTCTACAATCAAATCAATTTTTATTCATGATAAAAAATACTTTTAAAGCAATAGACTGTTTTTGTGGTTGTGTTTGATTGCCTTGTTATTGTTTGTTGGTTAATTTTTTTTTGGTATTTTTGGTATGTTTCATTTGTATAGCCATTGTATGTTTCACTTGTGTTACCATGAACTTACATTTATTATTTAAATTCAAAGTGGAAGAAAGGACTGAGGAAAACACATTACCATAGTTATTTTAAAATTTGGTTTATAGAATGTGGTTTGTGAGTGGATGCCTCAGAGATAAGGCAGGTGGAGGGTTGGTGTTGAGAGTAGCTTAAAGCAGAAAAAAGAATCAATAAAAATGGCAGACCGTTTACATAAAGTTGCATTCCTAACTTTATACTTTCAACTATATCAGCTCTAGGGAATGGGAAGCACATGTATTTGCTTGGTTAACCATTATTTAACAGAAGACTTACATAAAATTGGGTAGGTGACTTTCTTCAATTTACACTGTTCATGACCTCTTCTATTTTATTCATGAGCTTTCTATTTATTTAAAGTCTGAATCAAGATGTTGCTCTAAATCTTCCCATTCATAGGTTTTTAAGATTTTAAGGTAACTTCTATATTTTCATTATTATAAACAATTCTGTAGTAAACATCTTTATGGGTATATTTTTTCCTATATGTTAGATTATTTTCTTTGGATGCTAGAATGGAGATTTATGGGAGAAATGCAGGAACATATTGAAGGCTCCTGATACATATCGCCAAATTATTTCCCAAAATGTTTCTGGTAGTTGTAGCTGAAATATATAAACCCAATAACATTATCATGTTGACTTTCCTTTTTTGTTGTTTAGTTTTTTGTTCATTATTATTAAGATATAATTTATACACAGCAAAAATTACCTATTTAGTTGGGCAGTTTGTTGAATTTGGCAATTATAGACTGAGTATAACCACAGCCACAATGAATTTTTATAATATTTCCATCACCCTAAAAAGTTATCTTGTGCATCAGTGTAGTGAAGTAGTTTCACATACCCTCAGCACCTACAGACCACTGATTTTATTTTTGTTGTTATCATTTTTTCTTTTTTCCAAAATAACGTAAATGGCCACATAGAATATGTAACATATTCAACTGGCTTTTTTTACTTAGTATAATGTTAAGAACATCAGGCTGTTTATGTATCATTAGCTCGTTCCTTTTTTGTTTATAGTGTTCTACTCTATAAATGAACCACAGTTTGTATACCCATTCACTAGTTGATGGAATGTGAATGGTTTGCAGCTTTTGTTATTATGATTTTTTGTGATCTTTTATGAACATGACCATACAGACTTTGTGTGGAGCTGTTTTCAACACTTGTAAAAATACTTTGAAGTGGGATGGTAGGTTCAGATATTAAGGGTGTATTTAACCTTCTTCCATACTGCCAGAGTGCTTTCTGAAGTGACTATACCATTTTCCATTTTCAGTAGCGTTCTGTGGGAGGTGCAAATGCTTTACATCTTCACCAATAATTTTTTTCTTTTGGTAATTTTAGCTGAGCTAGTAGGTATGTAGTGATATCTCATTGT